TTTCTGAGTCTCTAGCGACAGACAGCTTACATTTTGGCGCTCCTGGGTGAGATAATTAGATCTACATTTAATTTTTTCAAACTGATACCCTTCTATTAACTATTACCACACCAAAAAAGTCTTTTAAATGCATTTAATTAAATGGATACCACGCACAGTAGTTCTTTTGTAAACACGAAGTGCGTTCTTGACTATAAACGACAGTGAGCTTTCATTATATAATCCATTTATTTGTTTTAAAGTTATGAAACATAATGTTGTTACTTTTTCTAACCTCTCTCCTCTCTGTCAGGATGTGCGTTCATCATTCTCGCCTACGCTTTAGCGGTGGCAGGAGCCAGATGGATGACACATTGAATTTTTGCTAATTTCCAGATAGAACTTTTACTTATCAGAATACGTATTTTGATATACTAAATTGTTCAGAGAAGATTAATAGCAAATATTTTGAATAAATGAAGATGTCCATATTTCAGTTTTCTTCCTTTTTTTCGTGTGTATAGAAAGACAAGTCATAATCAATTATTTTCCGTTACAAAAACAAGATTAAACGAGAGAAAGCAAAAGAAATGTCACAAAAACACACATGAGACATACACAGAACACGGCTTATTCCGCTCACGGTACAGCGCACAAACAATTCGTTTTTTGACGCCTACGCTTTTAACTACAATTATTTTGTCAAGAACGGCTTAGTTGATGCTCGTTTTTCTGATCCCTGAAAAAGCACGTTTTCGTGTCCAAGTTTTTCGGTGTTAATAAAATGGTTCGTTTTTACTTCACCTATGTTCGCACATAAAATGTTTCTAATTGCAAACAACAGGCTTTTAATTTATTGTTTATCAATAATAATAAATCTTTTTCAACAACATATACTTTAAAAATACTAAAAGCCTGCTTTACTCGGACTTTTCTTCGAAAACTTGATTTTGACTTTCACAGTTGACAGCCGGCGCTGTTGTGACAGGTATAACCTGAGGTTTTCTCAATGTGAACGTAGGGCTGAGTGGAGTTTTGGTCGTCAGATCAAGAAGTTGAGTCCGCTTTGGTGTTCCCACTAAAGCTGCCGATGTAGTCGTAGATGTTGTAATAAGCGATGAAACAGTTGTAGTTTCATCAGATATGGGTTGAGATGATATTGCTTTTGAACTGAGATCGGATAACGATTGCAACATACTCGTGGTTACCATCTGACTATTGGATGATGATGAAGTTGTCGTTATTGTTGAGACTGTGAGCGCATCACTTTGTTTATTACTGACGA